TGGCAGTGGCAGTACAAGCAAGGAGAAGCTCAGAAGGGGTTGGCAGCATGGATGAAAAAGAAAAGGAGCAATGGAAGGGAGACCTGGAGCAACAGACCTCTTGATCTGCAGCCAAATACTCTGTAGCAGGCAGGCTGCAGCCACATTCCCATGCTCATGTCTGAACCCACATCCCAGCCCTCTCCATCCCGCTTTTGCTCTTTTCTCCTCTCTTGTTGTTGCATGCTCTGACCTGTGGATGGGACAGGGAACGAGCAAACACAACCCGAGAATGCAGGCCTCAGGACTGCCACCTTGTTCCTTGCCCTGGGAAGCAGGATCTACAAGCTCAGCCAGTCCAGAGACTTCCTGGAATATCTCACAGGATCTAAGTTTGGTGAGCACTCAGTCTGGCTGCTCTGGCCCTGCCCTGGCCTGATGGGGAGCCACGTCCACCCCCAGCCGTGTTGGGCCAGACAGGAATGGCACCGGGCGCAGAGAGGAGGGGTTTCTCAGACTCTTTGGCACCCTGCATGGTGGCAGGGGCTGCCCTGGGCTGTGGGGGAGCAGCGAGGGCAGGGCTGTGCCAGGAGGGAGACCAAGCCAGGAGCTGTTGGCACACCACAGCACAGCACAGCACGGGCAGGAGAAGGCCCACACGGCTGCTCTGACAGGCAAGGTGCTAACTGCTATACAAGTACAATTTGCTTAAAGGAACAAACACTGCCTAGTGACGTGCGGAAAACAGACTCCACAATCTGATAGATTGTAAAGTAGGTATGTTTATTCAGCGCTGGGCACACAGGGGATCACTCCTCCAAATATGTGTGCTACCATGTGGCACCATTGCCTTAGATTTATAGAGCAAATGATTACATATTCATAATATTTCACAATACGCCTATACATATGCATCACCTATCCCGCTTCGTATTAAAATTAGCATTTCCATAATCTCCTCCCAGTTGAGTCTGCGCAGTGAGTTCCTTTGGTCCTGGGCAGGGGTCGTGAAGGGCTGGGCGGTGGTCGTGGGAGGAAGTATCTCCTCTTCCTCAGTGCTGAACTTTTCACCCCGAATTCCTGCGCAGTCTCTGTCACCTCCTGGACCCGGGCTAAACCTGCAGAGCAGGTTTGTGCTGGTTGTGGGGTAATCTTCTGCTGACACCCACTTACTCAGGGGTGCAGGGGGCTTTGTACTTAAACAGGAGATAGTGGTCGAGCAACACAAACACAAACACAGCAATATCTATCTCGTACAAGCTAAGCAAACTCTTATCTCGACTATTTCCCTCGTCATCCCCTTCTTGCTATTCCCATATTACCCCTTACATCCCCTGTTCCTGTCTAGGCCCTGTATCACTAGGACTAAGAGCTTTTACCGAAGGGTGACCTGAAGACCTGTCTTAAATCAGCTATCAGTGGCTGAGAACACCCCATGCAGACAAAAAAACAATGGTAGATTTGTCATCAAAAAACCACCGGGCATGTAACCACGGCCACAAGTGCGGCTAACCAAAATCTAGTATAAAACCACTCCAAGTACATGCGACAAGAATGTATTGATGGGAAAATCACAAGTTGCATACATTTCCAATATGAACTCATTAGCTCACTCGATAGCATGAGTAAGGTGACTGGTTAGCAGAACTGTATTGTAACATACATAAAACCGTGCTGTCATCCCTACTGGGGTCCTCCATGAATCAGGCTGAGGCATCACTATGTGCACCCCTCGCCCCAGGGTTTCCTTCAGCTCCTCCAGAGCCAGCTCAGGGGGCCAAAGAGAAAGTCTCCATCCAGGGTGATGGACAGGAGAGGTGGGGAGAAGGGCAAGGCAAGGCCCTTGAGCTTCCCACCCCAGTCCCACTTCCAGTGAGGTAGCCAGGCAGACATGTATCCAGCCTGGGTGAGGGCACAGGATACAGGAAAGGAATGAGGCGTGAGTGCTGGCAGTGCCAGGGAGCATCAGGCCTGGCTGTGAGAAGTCCCAGCTGGCATCCTGGGGGGAGCAGAGTGGTGCAGCGGAAGCGTGCTGGGCCCATAACCCAGAGGTCGATGGATCGAAACCATCCACTGCTAATGGCATTATTAGTTTTTTTTTTTTTTCTTTCCTGGCGTTCCAGCAGCAGAGTCGCTGCCTCTCCCTTGCATCTTTCCCAGCAAGCTTTAACCTGCACTGCTCCTGCTCTCTGCGCACCCATGGCCATGGCCCTCTTGAGCTCCCACTCCCTTCTCTCTGCCACTCACCTTATTCTTTCATTGCCTTCTTAGCAGACAGCGCTCCCAAAGCGTCCCTCAGCAAGACAGACAGCTGCGTGTGGAGCAGCAGGCAGAGCTCCCCACACGAGGAAGTGGGTGTCCTGGGCACGCAGTTGTGTTTCTCCCTTCCCATCAGGCTGCTCAATCTCAACTTCCCAGCTGCCAGCAGGGACCTCCAGGGAATCTGCAAGTGGGGAGGAGGACACGGCTGGAGTTAGTTTTGAAAACACTAGTGTGATCAACTTGAGCACCAGGGCACTTTCTCCATCCTAGTTTGTTTGCTGCTGTGCCCACTCGCAGGGCCAGCCAGGAGCAGGGCTGAGCAGGTATTCCCAATGGGCTCATTGGTGGCAGTATATGGGTAGGTGTTGGGGTGGAACGTAGAGAAAGGAGTGAGCAACGGGGTGGGTGAGCATCTGTGCTTCTACCAACACAGGTACATACACATGACCACACATACACTTGCATACTACATGCAGAACTTGGCACGTGTTTGTCCGCAGATGGGGAGCAGCACCATTACCAGCACCCACAGAAGCACCAGCACCACTCACACAGGCATGGACAAGAGAGACGGTCTGATCCTTTTCTTTGCCCCCAGCTGCTTAGGGTTGGAGATCAGGGATGGACACAGATCCCCTCCCTCCCACATGCACAACAGTAGGTCCCTGGGATCCCTGCCCTTATCATAGGTCTGTGCAGCGTCCATGGCTGGAGCTCAGTCCCGCTTTCTACAGTGTCATTCTCTAAACCTGATCAGTCCCTGATGCTGATCTCCCCTAGCCAGTGGCTAGTGCAGCTTCAGGTTTCCTAGCCAACACCTGACAAACTCAGAAAACTCCCAGCGCCAACCAGCTTGAGAACATCTGTGAGTGCAGGCAGCTAGGAAGTCTGGGAAGTGGAGGAGTAGGAGGCAGCAGGCCACCAGGAGCGTTGGTGGTAGGTGGTAGAGCGTAGATGCCTTCCAAGCAGTTGACCTGGGTTCCAGTCCTGGACAGTGCAGACAAATTTTTCTTCAGCTTGTCTCCACAAGTGCCTTGCCTCCCCTGCTCCAAAAATCCACCTTCACACAGCAAATTCAGCTCCCATGGGGCAGTCGAGGTGCTACCCTCGACTCCCCTAGGGCCTTTCATCACAGAGAGGCCTCTGGACACAATCTAACCCAGAACACAAAGGCCTCCCTTGGCAAAAGGAGATGACAGAGACTGCTTTCACCATTTGTATATTCTCAGCGATTGTTGAAGCACTGGAGCAGGTGCCCAGAGGCCTTTGGAAGTCTCTGTGCCTGGGTATCACAATCAGGTTTCAGGGGGGCTCAGGCACTGCTCTGCCCACCCTGGCTTGAGGCCAGCCCTGCTTTGAGCAGGCATTGGGCCAGTGATCTACCAAGGTACCTTGCAGTCTAGAGCCTGCCATGAAACAACAAGCCCCAGAGAGAGCTGTGCCCTCCTTCCTCTGCACCATGGGCAGTAAGGGAGCCTCTTGCCCACAGCAACTGGAGCTCAGTCATTGCTCTGTACTTGGCACATCTCCTGTCCTTTCTCCTTGACTCTCCAGCCCCTCTCCCACATAGCAACTCCTTGAGACCAGCACAGCATTGCCCCAGGGGCTGGTGTGGCAGAGCCCTCCTTCACCAACCTTCCCAGCTATGTGCAGGGAAGAAGGAAGCCCCCTCGATGCCCCAGGAAGTGTCCACAAGGCAGCCCCCACAAAATCCTCTCTTCCTGCTCCCACTTTACCCTCCAACAATCCTTCTGCTTGGAAGGCAGGCCAGGGAGTCTGAGACTGCATACTTCTTCTTCAATAGGCTCACACCAACAGAGCATTGCTTCTCCCTCCGGGTCATAAAATACCCTGAGGACAGTCATTTTGCAGCTTCTCTGGTTCTCTGTTCCCATCCATAGGCACCCTCAGGGTAATGATTGTTTTCCTGTAGCCAGTTACAAACTGCCTGGTCAATTTCTGACCACAGCTCTCATCGTCCAGCCACCACAGTAGCCTCCTTGTAGGCACTGGGAGGCTCCTATCAAATCCCTCCTAAGCATTTTCTTCTCCCTGCTAAGCAAGCCCTGTGTCCTCAGGCCTCCCTCACAAGGCCAGAGTCCCTGGCGCCTGTCTAGCCTAGGGAACCTCCACTGAACTTGCTCCACTTTATCAGCACTTTTACATAGTTCCCTACATAGACCTTCTTCCCCTTTTCTGGAAAAGAGGACAACTTTTCCCTCTCATTAGTCATCAGGGAAATACCCTGCCCTCTGATCCCAAAGCTGAAGAGCCCCTGAGATCCACACTTCTCTCTTTCGGATGCGGTGGCAGAGACGGTAGGTGCCAATCCAGGAAGTGGCATTGACCAGCAGGGTTTCAAGCCAGAGAGTATCCCTGAATTGGCAGTTCCTCAGCCTGCAAACGCAACCAGCATCAGTGGGAAGAGGGGCAGGCGGGAGTAATGGCCCACCAGTTTCCCATGTTTCACCAGCTTCACAGTAAGAGAGGGCTCCTGTGTGTGGCGCTACTTGTATTTCCACTCCTGTCCATTGCTTCTTGATCTCTCCATTCCACTGACGCTTTGCTGTCTCTCTTTTGCCAGCTTCTTTCTTTTTCGTGATCTCGTACATGATCAGGGAGCTCCACCCACAACTGACTGTGCCCCAAGATTGGCGACAGACTCACCGTCACTGCACAGAAAAGGTTCTCCCTTTCCCTTGCAGAGGACTTGGCCAAACGGCGAAGGAGCAGTAAAAAAACAAGCCATAAGCCTGCAATTATGATGCACAAAGCCTTTAATAAGAAGGAGGAAATGCAGTAGCACAGAACAGAGACCAAGAAACACATCTGCAGGTTTGAGGCACGCACACAGTATGGCACGTTCCCCAAGGACAAGCTGCACACAAAGCGCTTTACTTTTACCATTCTGCTCTCCGTGGTGGCAATGGCAGCCCACCAAGAGCGGTCCCTAACTCCAGCACACTCTCCCAAACAGCAGGGGATTCAGCAAAGCAGAAGAGAACGAGCCCTTTCTGGAGGGCTCAGAGCAAAGAAGAGCTAGAGGAGACACAACCACGCCAGCCGTGCAGAGAGGAGAAGTGGGCACAGGTCCCTCCTGCCAGGTGGCATGAGGACACCCATGCCTGTCTGCAAGCCGTGGCCATGCTCCTGCTGCTGCAGGGTCCCGTCTTCTGTCCTGCTCCTAGAGGGATGAGCCACCAGCTTCAGCAATTCAGACTGCAGCGGGGGAGAGGCAGACACATCCCGGACCCGCCCAGACCAAGGGAGCCCCCAGAAGAGATGGGAAATCCCCCGGCACTGAGGGAGCTCCCAACAGCAGCTGACAGAGATGATCCCACAGCCGTGCTCTGAGGGAAAGAGTTGAGGATGGGGCCCGGTAGGGTCACCACCACTGGCGAGGGCTCGAATGAACACCGTCGAGTCAGCGCAGCGGGCAACACAGGGCTCACTGCAGCTGCTTGCAAGTGGGGTTGGGCCAGAGGCACCACAGGGCCGTGGGGGACAGGGTCTGAAGCAAGACATCTCTCGGTGAAGGAAGCAAAGCTGCAACACAGAGCAGGAAGGAAACACAGACCAAAACATCAACTTGGCTCTCATGTCCACAGCTCTCTCTGCAGATACACTTTGCTGCTCTCCATCTCCATTCGATCTCCACGTGCAGGAAATGCCTGCACCTGATATTTCTAACACACACAACGTGCGTGACGTATTCTCCTAAGTTGGATATGAAGCACTGGGAGCAAAGACGTGCCTAACTGGCTGCTGATTGCACCAGGACCTCCTGCTGCATTTCCCAGTACAATAGCACAGATGAAGATTGATGCAAGTATCCCAGCACAAATGGGCTGTGTTGAATGGGTGTCTCAGAAATCACCTCTTAAACATACACTGTCTTCCTACAGCTTGTAATGCACTCCTCTGAGTTGCACAGTGCAGGAACGCTGACCCACTTTGGGATAGGACCAAGCACAGTGGCTTTAAAGCACCTGATCATACCCCATCTCCAGAACGACTGTTGTTGCATTGATGAAGCACTTGGCCATTTGGTTAGAGAGCATCAGCTGCAGGCGTAAGAATCTGGTGAGGCAGACACACGCTACAGCTGAGCCCCATTGATACCCTTCTGCTTGAAAGAACACCCTCTTCCCATGTGTCCGCAGTCACCTCCACCAAAAGGGACAGAGGTGACAGCCCTTCAACTGTTCAATTGCAGGGCCAAGTTGAGGCAGTGAAATATCAACCTGAGATGCCACCATGGCAGCAATTCTGCCTACATAGAGAGACATGGGGCAGACCCAGATTTACCTCGTTCCTCGAGGAAAGGGAAGCAAGAGAGGAGGATGCAGAGCCTGGAGCAGCGCAGGCTTTTATGCTGTGTCCCAGAGCCCTGTGGGGCCACGAACGTTACTTGCTCATGAAGCATCTGAACAACTAGGAGTTTCCGCTTCCTAAGGATTCCCTGGTGATTAAGCCCTCACTTCTTACAACCAACATATTGTCCTCCTTTCATACCATCGAACATCAAAATCATTCATCTGTATTCCAGGTTTATAAAGTCAATTAACTCCAAGTTCTTACGCAGGACAGACAGATATTTTTAGTTGACTTGCCTCATACAAATTCCTTTGGTCTCATTGCCCTCTTCATGGTTAACTTGTCCATGTGTCATGGTGAAATGGGCACCTCAATTCCTCTCTCAAATGCTTTCTTTGCTGGCACTCAGTCTAAAACCTGTGGGACATTTCTCTTCATGGGAGAACACAGGAGGCAGTTGGTAAGTCCAGGCAGATGTTCAAGACTGCACAATCCTATATGGGAGGAGAGACGCACCACTCCAGGGATGTGGCAAAGCTCAATGGCAAGGAAAGACCACTGTGAGGTGGAGGGAAGCCCCCTGTGGGCAGGGGTGATGATGGCCACAGGGACCTTGTTTACGCTCATCAGGCTCTACCACAGACTGGTTTTGTGATCAAAGGCTTGCCCACGTCCTTCCCTGAAGGAGACCCACACCCAAATTGACTCGTTTGGCTCTGTAAGGTCATCCCAGAGGATGGAGGTGTGGCTTGCCTGATTAGGAGGAGAGGTGAACGGCAGGGAATGAAAACCTCATGGCCCTTTTTCCTGATTCAGAGAGGGGTTGTCCAATGCCATGCATTTCACGCTACAAAGGCACATTGGATCAGTCTCAGAGCACCTGGGTGTCCTTGTGATGTGGAAGAGTTGGGAAAAATCCCAGAGCTGCTGTCAAGCATGACTCATCCTGCTGTGGACATCATTTGGCACGGTCGCCCAGCCTCAGTTGTGCCAGGGATACCAGACCTCATAGTCCCAAATTGCAGCTTTCTGCAAGGAACAGCATTTTAGCAACATTCCTGAATCAACTGGTGCTTCTGTGCAACCTCGTGCAGCTTCTGGCTTCTAAGGCATTGCCTGCCAGTGGCTGCTCAGGGACCCATGAGAGTGAGTGCAGCCCAGAATGATGTGGGATGGATGGTTCTTCTGGAATGGCTCTGGGACAACCTCCTGCTCTGAGCAGACCAAGCTTAATGTTAAGTTACTCAAGGGATATGGCGATGGAGATCCCATGGAGACATTACCTGAAAGAGACCTGACTGATCCTCTGGTCCGCTTCCTGTCGTTACAAATGTGCCTTCATTCCCTGGACACGTGGTCATAAAAACCAGGCTGTGGCAGAGCCTTTTGAGCATGAGCAAGGTCCTCGTGGCCCTCACTCGTGCCCACAATGTTCCTTCCTTGTCATTGAGTTTTACTGCATCTCTGGGTATGTGAGTCTCTTCGCCCACCATCTCCTGCCACTCTATGAAGACCCACTGGGAGATAGATGTCTCCCAGGTTTAGCCCGACGCTCTGCACTGAAAGCACTTCAGAGCTGATTTGATGTGACTTTGAAGCGTGAGTGCTGGCAGTGCCAGGGAGCATCAGGCTGGGCTGTGTGAGAGAGCAACTGCGTGGGTGATCTAACACGCTGAGCCATCTGTGAATTTCTGGCGTGGACAGCACCTGTGTTGGAGCTACAGCAGGTGTAGGAGGAAACATATATTGATGAAGTTGTCAAAGCTGAAACACAGATCAGAGAGTGAACGCTTGTTCTTTTGCTAAGCAACCATATGCTGAAGGTGTAAATTCCGGTGGACAGACCTCCCCACAGCTGAGCCCCTTTGATCACCTTGCTCTTGAAAAAGGGCTTTAGGGCATATTTTGGCTAGCACTGGGAGACATCTCTCTCTAGGCGAGTCATCATGGGCTCACAGGAGATGGTGGCATCTGTTGAGCAAAACGCAAGGCCAGGAAAGTTGCCATTGTAGTCTGGAGGGAAGCTGCTTGCGGGAAGGAATGAGGGCCACAAGGACCTTCCTCACATTTGTCAGGCTCTGAAAAAGCCTATGTTTTCTGCCCACAAGGCCAGGGACCGTAGCAGATCCATAATGAGAAAGAGTAGGCCACAGATTGAGGCCGGTCTCTCTCAAGCAATCTCTCCTTGGGATCTCAGTAGCACTGTCCCTAAGATGACTACAACAAGGCCTTCACAATTCTTCCAACCAGGCCTCGGGGGTCATCTTGGGATGTGGAGAACCTGTGGGACACAGGCAAATCGAGGCATAGGAGTGTGGTCAAAGAGATGCCTGCATCTTTCCAGTGAAATAAACCCACAGCCAAAATGACCTGTTTAGCTCAGCAAGGTCAGCCTAGAAGCCAGAGGCCTGGATGGCCTGCTTTTCAAGGAGAGGCTCAGGGCAGGGAGCCAAAAGCTCATGGCCCTTTTTCCTGGGTCAGGGATGGGGCGGCACGTTCCATGCATTTCAATCTCCAAAGGGGCGTCGGATCAGTGTCCCTCAGCACCTGGGAGTCATCGTGATGTGGAGGAGTTGGGAAAAACCCAGAGCTGCTGGCAAACATGAGTCACCCTGCTCTGGACTTCAGTGGACATGATGGCCCAGCCTCAGATGTGCCAGGGATACCAGAGCTCGTAGTCCTAAAGCGCCACTTTCCTCAAGGAAATTTCCACATATTTTAGCACTGCTGATGAAACGGCTGGTGCTTCTGTGCAATCTTGTGCTGCTGCTGCCTTCCAAGGCATTGCCTTTTGGTGGCTGCTCAAGGGCCCATGAGACTCAGTGCCCCCCAGAGTAATGATGGTTGGAAAGATCCACTGGAAGCCCTTTGCTCTGGTCTGCTGCTCCAAGCGAACCAAACTTCTCAGCTACCTCAGCAGGCTCCGTGCCTTGTCCCACTGACTTAAGAATGCTGTCACTGGTGGAGAGGTCACTATGTCTTGGGCAGCTCTTCCAGGGACACACCGCACCCCCTGTCACATCGTTTCACATAAGGGCAGCTGGAATTAGCCCTGTTGCAACTTGTGAGTAATGTGGGTCTTGCTGGTCAGTCAAGTTGTGTTGTACCTGAACCCTTGAAAGGTGTAAGTACTCCCTGTGAAACTACATTTGGGGTGCACCTGCATGCATATATACTCTTGTAATTCTGTACTTTGCATCCCAGGCTCTCTCCTCCGTCAGCACAGGCCAGTTGCGAATTCTTGTTACACAGGACCCTAGTATTTCTTAGCTAAAATCTGCCTTCTGCAGCTAATAGGTTGGGTGGTGGGTGATGTCCACTGTAGTACTCGAGCCCTGCGCAGTCCCTGATGCTGATCTCCCCTAGCCATTGGCTAGTACAGCCTGAGATTCCCTAGCCAACACCTGACACACTCAGAAAACTCCCATAGCTAACCAACTTGAGGTCATCTGTGTGTGCAGGCGGCTGGCCAGTCTGGGAAGTGGAGGTGCAGGAGGCAGCAGGGCACCAGGAGCGTTGGTGGTCGGTGGTAGAGCATAGGCCGCCTTCCGAGCAGTTGACCTCGGGTTCCAGTCCTGGACAGCGTAGGCAAATTTTTCTTTAGCTGGTCTCCACAAGTGCTTTGCCTCCCCTGCTCCAAAAATCCACCTTCACTCAGCAAATTCAGCTCCCATGAGGTAGTTGAGACGCTACCCTCGACTCCCCAGAGCCTTTCATCACAGAGAGACCTCTGGACACAACCTCACCCAGAACATAAAGGCCTCCCTTGGCAAAAGGAGATGACAGAGACTGCTTTCATTCATTTGTAGATTCTCAGGGGCTCAGGCACTGCTCCGCCCGCCCTGGCATTGGGGCCAGCCCTGCTTTGAGCAGGCATTGGGCCAGTGATCTCCCAAGGTACCTTGCAGTCTAGAGCCTGCCATGAAACAACAAGCCCCAGAGAGAGCTGTGCCCTTCTTCCTCTGCACCATGGGCAGTAAGGGAGCCTCTTGCCCACAGCAACTGGAGCTCAGTCATTGCTCTGCACTTGGCACATCTCCTGTCCTTTCTCCTTGATTCTCCAGCCCCTCTCCCACACAGCGACTCCTTGAGACCAGCACAGCATTGCCCCAGGGGCTGGTGTGGCAGAGCCCTCCTTCACCAGTCTTCCCAGCTATGTGCAGGGAAGAAGGAAGCCCTCTTGTTGGCGTAGGAAACTTCCATGAGGCAGCACCAGTATGAGGCCAAGAGAGACATTGCAGGCTCTGGGGACTCAGTGTTCAGGCTGAGGGGTGTGCTCCAAGGACTAGCATGCATTTCCATTTTGTCTCCCCCAACACTGGGTCGTTTCTCTCTAGCACTGCTGACAGGACAGAGAAACTCCATGCTGGTGCACGTTGTGATTGAGGGAGATGCTGAAGGAGCTGGGTTTGTTTAGCCTTTAGAGCAGAAGTTGAGGGGGCTTCCGCTGTGTGAAGGTGGCTCTCTGGCTTGCTAAGGCCTGCCCTCTGCAAGAAAGACCTCGGGAGTGCAGGAGCTGTTGGTGGCCTGGCCTCCTGTGTGATCCAGCCTGGCCTGAGCTGCATCTCCCAAGGGCTGGGGAGCTCTGGGAGATCCCTGGCTGCTCACTGAAGCCTCTAAGGGTGGCACAGATTGTCCTCCCTGCAGGGTCCCATAGGGAGGAGTAGCATCAGAGGCTACAGAGGTGGCAGCAGGTACCATGGCCTTGGGGAAGGAAATGGGCTGGGGAGCACTTTAGTCCCAGCAGGCAACGCTGCCAGGAAGAAAACCAAGGACAAAATGCCCTGAGCAAGGAGGCTGCCTGCGCAGGCCCATACGGCTGTTCATACAGAGCCCCTCCGGGATCCCCGAGTGCTGGGTGAGATCAGTGAGCCTGGGTAGGGCCCCAGGAACATCCTCTGTTGCTTGGAGATCCACTGTCTGACCCCAGAAGAGACATGTCCCCTCCGATGGCAGTACAGCACATGGACGGGAAAAAGCTGTCCCTTTTCCTGTGCCACAGCCCCTGGAAGGGGGTTTCCTCCACCTTTTT